GCTGAACGGCGAGTGCCACGGTACAGCAGAGTCCAGGCATATGCTTTGTATAAATTGTACAATATTTGCAAGGGACAATCACAGAGAAAGGTGCAAAGTCTTAGAGCTACTTTTGCTTTTTTAGTGCCACAAGAAAATATCTCTGTGACGAAGTCGTTCCCTGACCTTAGAAGGCATGTTTAAATAACTTTTGAATGGCTAGCCGTAGCTTGGGGGGGAAGGTATGTCCCAACTAGTAAATCTAAAATGCCGTAAGTAGTAACCAGCTCAGACAGTATGGCAAATATTTAGAATCTCATAAAATTATTAGTAATTTGGACCAAGGGGTGATCCAATGGCCCGTCATACACCTCTGCATGTCGTTTTTCCACCCTCCCTGGCCTTACCCTCAGTGTGTAAACCCTTAGATGCACTTTTTCTCTGAGGTGGCAGATAACCACATATTCTAAGCAATGCTCACACTTTAGACTGAATGTACTAAGTCAAGCATTTTTTTAAAGATTACATACGAGGAAAAGAAATTGTAGGTCTTTCTCTTTTTTTTTTTTTTTTTTCTTTTTTTTTTTTGGCAGAGGCAAGCTGGCCACTGCTGTGATATAGCATGTTTGCAAAAGTAACTGTGGCTGGAAAAAAGTTGTGTCCTACAATACCAGGTGTTCAGAATTCCTCTCCTTCACACGGCACCATATTCATTAGAGAGTTGGCCACAACTGAGAAACAATTCTGCTTACGGAAAAAAAAAAATTAAACACTACAGTTCATTTGTAGGTAGAGTTATTTCTGTCTCTAGACCTGATCAAAGCAATATGAATGTGCATATGGATCCTCAAAGTAATATATTTGATTGATTATGTTTTAAGAAGGTTTTTGCTATCAGAGGTTATTAAAACTCTTTCTTTTCTAGGAATAACTCTGGTTTCACACCAGCAGACACAGTGGCTATCATTTTCTGTTCCACGCACAAATCCCTCACCCTGGGTAAGTCAGGAGATAAGCTTTTGAGCAAAACAACAGTAATGTTCATACTTTGCTGTGTTGAAAAAAAATGTTGTTGGCTGCTGGCTTTTCTGCTTAAATGGTTTTGATTTTAGTGTGACAAGTAATGCTGCCAGTATGACACTAATAGTAGGATAATATTCTTGCACAGATAAAATAAATGCTTATTACAGGGCAAAAAACAGTCTTCTCAGCTGAGATTTTAGTGGTTATACAGTAAGACCACCGTGTTTATGGAAAGCTAGCTTTTTCTTTCTCTTATTCTGTTCTGTTGCTTTATCCAATACTGGTAAAATTTCAGTTTTATTACTGAAAACTTTGTAAGGTATGTTTGCCCAGTCTCACAGTAAAATGTTACACATCAAAGCTGGGATGCACAAGTGAAAATCAAAGCATGTAGTCTATTCAGAAACAAATAGATAATACTGTCTTTTGCTTACCATCAGCAACATGTATGTGCTTATTATAAGTCTGCAGATATTTTGGATAGTTCTAGTTATTAGAATTCATTTATCAAAACATCATTGAAATATTTGTCACTTATGACCCCTTAGTTCTGATGGAAATTCACAAATTCAGTAATGCTTACAGCACTTGCCACTGCTTCATCTGTTATGTTCAGTCAGTGAAACAACTAGTGCTTGAATATTTTCTCACTGTTTTTCAAAATATGAAAATGTGTTTGATAAAGCATTTGTGACTGAATATATGCCTTTTCAAGACTGTATCTGTCAAAGAGAAACACAGCTCGTGTCAGTAACAAAGGTAAGAACTCAGCCTGAAAACAGGGGAAGGACGAGTCAGGATTTAGGCGAGATGTTTTCAAGTCAGTTTGATATAGCGAAACTCATCTCAGGGTTCTTTGCTTCAGCCCGGCCTGTGCTGCAGAACTGTTAGCAAGTGCCCCTGAAAGTCTGGGGGGGGTGAAGGAGATCCTGGAAGACAAGAAAAAGGCAAACATAATGCCTCTTTTCACAATGGAAACCAGGAGGGGACGAGGAGTTATAGATCAGTGAGTTTAACTTCATTTTGTAGAAAATTATTGAAACAAATAATTAAATAAATTATTTTAATAGTGTAGGAAGAAACAAGGAAATGAGTAACAGCCCCGTAGATTTGTCAGATGCATATTATACCAACCCAACCTAATTTCCTTTCACACAAGGTCCTGTGGGTTGCAGAGAAGTAGCAAAAGTTATACGGTTTGAGAGCATTATGGCTTTTGACACTTGTGTGGTGTTTTGTGCTCCACGATTCAACAATGATGTGGACCAACTGGAAAGAGACCAGAGGAGAGTGCCATGAATGATCACAGAGCTCAAAAACGTGACCCCAGAGGAAGGTTGAAGCAATTGGAATTGCTGAGAGAAGACAGATGAAATGCAATAGTGATCTTCAAATGTGTATGGTTCATGCAAAGAAGGAAAAAAAGTAACTCACAGTGGACTTTGGAAAGGGAAGGACTCTGTTACAATGGTGAAAATGTAAGCTAACAGTCAGGGAAACCTGTCTAATGTAAAACAGTTGAGCTTTGGAATATGTTGCCTGTTGATGTCTTGAGTCTCCTGTTGTTGTAGAGAAGCCTCAGGAATTAGCTAGCTAGAGTTGATCCTGCCTTGGAGCAGGACAGTGATCAAATGACGTTAGGTCTTTTCCAGCCAAATGTTCTATGAAGCTGAAGCTTCAGCTAATAAATGAGCTTGTATTCAGGAGGACAGTTACACTTGTATTTATAGAAAGCAGCCCCACATATGTCATAACATGCTGCCGTACTTGCCATTATATGGAGGTGCGTATAAACTTAGGACACATCTATGATACTACAGAGGAGAAGCTGGTTGTATTTAACAGCACAAATGTATAATTCTCTCCTTCCCTCCCCCTGAAAATACTTTTATATACACTCTGTGAATACTTCTGCAGCTTGCCATGGCATTAAGAAAATAAGCACAAAACTTTTTTTTTTTTTTTAAGTCCTGAAGGATCTTGCCTTCACCCAGAAAAAAATGAGAACTCTTAATTTCTTTTATTCACTGCCAAGCATCCCCATGCAGCCTGTCTTGACCTAAGCACGCAGCTGAGTCAATTCACTTTTCTTCTGCTAGTGCACTCTCTTTTTTTATGTTTTATTTTCTCCTTTAGAAGAACCTGGTTTGGGGTTCCTAGCTTGCTTGACTTCTTGGCTCACATTTTCCCAGTTCCAAGTTACTGCTCTCGTTAGCACAGCCTGATGAGTCAGGCTCTGTATTTTGCAGCTTTCTTTGCCCAAGCACACGAACAAAAATACTCTGGCCACCGTGACTTCAAGGACTCCTACAGCTTCTCCCCAGCCGTACATTCATTTACTCTGCTAATACAGATGGTCACAGATAAGTGCAACTTGAAAGGAAACAGGTAGATGGTGGAACGCAGTACCGCGGGACTGCTTCTTGACTACAGGCTGTTTTGTTTGTCAGGTTCAGGACAGCCTGCTTTACCTTCACCTTTGAAGAGCTGGTGTCTGGTGGAAAGCAAGCTTACCTCCTAGGAGAGGCCAGTCACAAGATGTCATTTGTTCTTACGCTTTGCACTTTTGCCCTACCTTTCCTTGCTGCTCAGGGCCTGCGTTGAGATTGCTGGGTGGCTGGGAGCTGCTCCCCTTGCGGTGTTCCATCTCTGGGGCTCAGCTTTGTCAAGGGTTCTTTGGGGCTCCCAGAGTTGTCTTGCGTGGCGCCAGCAGCAGCATGCCCTGAATTGAGCACCAGCCCTGGTGGGGGGCTTTTTGGCAATCCCTGGGAGCCCACCTTTGATAAGCGAGGGCCCCACTGCTCCTGTATGCACTTAGTACCAGGTCCAGATAAGGTAGAGCTGCATAAATTCACAATTCTATGTAAATAGGGAGAACTGGGTTTTATACAGCTGTCGTGCGCTGAGGCATGGCCCTGCATGGGTGGTGCAAGCAGGAGCTGTGAACCAGAGCAGCTAGCGTTCACTCCTCCACTGAAGGTGGAAACAGAGTAGATCTAATTTGTTTTTAAGGATCAGGCATTATGAATGACAGTTAAATCTATCTGCAGCACAATCTTGTCCACCCTGACCTTAGCAGAAACAAAACCAGCATTTTGGTCTGTACTCTTTTGTTGTTCTGTCCCATTTCTTTTTGTCCAGAGATGTTTGCTATAAACCATTCAATGAGAAACCTTCTGTTCCCCTGTAGCAGAGAGAGTTTTCCCCTCTCTCTCTGTCATTGCAATGCCTGAAAGCAAAACGCAGCTCAGGGTCTGGTTTCACATCCGTTGCGGAGTTCTGTTTTGTTTGTCTTCAAGATTCCAGTGGTAGTGTATAAATGACCCCCCAACACTTGTTCTTTCGCTTTGAAACTGATTTTTCTCAGCTTGGCAGGTGAAACTCCAAATAGGTACGCCTGGCTCCTTCCCCGGGGAGCTGAGAATGGCACCGACTAAAGTGGGAGAAGAGCTGACAGCTTTTAAAGCTTTAGAAGTGGTAATAGGAGAGGCATGAGAAGACTTTTATAAGTCACTTTCTCCCACACCATATTATGAAACCAGCTAATTCCCATGCAGCGTGTGCTCAAGAGGCCAACTGCCACTTCCACTGCTGAATCCATGAATAAGCGCTTGCTCTGCGTGGAGATGAGTGCTGTTCCCATATGCTGGGTTTTATTTTGTAGACAGAACAGTTGACACACTTTTTGTCTCAAAGATCAGAGTGCAGGGCATGTTTGTGTAAGGACAAATTACACAGGGTAGGTGCCTTTGTGTTTCTTAGAAACAAAAGCCGATATTTCTGAATAGAGGCTGGTGCTTTGGCGGTTATTTGAATACAGTACATCACATATGCAGAAAAAATGATGTTTATTTGTATTTCACTTAATGAGCGAAGCAAGATATAAACTTACAACTAGCAAAGATAAATATAGTATTCACAATGCCCTGTGGCATATTCACCCACACTTTGTTCTCTTTCTCTCCTTGTCCCTGCTCAGATATATGCACAGTACATGTGAGCGCACACATATGTGGACATTTGATGCATGGCTTTTATTAGTGCATTTGCCATTGATTGATTAGTACTTAGTATTAGTACTTCTTCTATTGATTGATTGCAGATGAAGTGACTATTTGACCTTTAATTATGAGCCTTGCTATTGAAAATGACATTGAGCTATGGCTCCACATAATCCATCTGGAAAGCCCGACATGATGCCATTCCCTGGAGTTCATTCGGTGAGAAGAGAAGAGAAGAGGCCTCAAGGAAGTGCAAAGCTATCAGTGTGGCTCATTGAAAAAATACTGCAGAGTTGCTGCTTGTACTTACACAAAAGTTACAGCCAAGTACAGAACATTATTTTATTTTTTGCAGAGAGTGAATTGCTAGCTAGAAGGTACAACTCCAGAAGTAAAATGCAGGATTGTCAAAAAATATTTTCACTTGTTTACTATGTAAAATTATTTCATCAGCAAAAAATGGAGTACTGCTACCTATTTTGGCTACCACAAGTGCAAATGTCAGTTCTGTCGGTATAATGAACAGCAGATTGGTAAAAAAACCAAAACAACAAAAATTACCCCACCTTATAATAAAATCAAGAGTATTGTTTGTGATTTGTCCTCATTTGGATTTATCAGTGTAGCAGTTCTTTCACCAAGTAATGCAGTCAAAGTTTCTAGGCTACAAAATACTTTCAGGAAAGAATAGAGTTCATTTTGCAAATAAAAGCCAAAGCACTAGCTTTCTTTTGTATTGTTTTAATTTAATTCAAATTATTTTTTTTAAATACTCAGCTTCTCACTGCAATAGTACAGAACTGATGGTCTGTACCTGAACAATTCTTAAAAGCCCGCTGTGATGCACAAGCAGATTCACAGACAACTCAATTGTCTGCGAGCAGATCATCTAGGCTATGGATTAATCAGCCCCTGCCTTCCCCTGAGCTCCCCAGCTGCACGATGTGACAGAGTGCATCGTGCTCACGTGTAGCT